ATATATTCATACCAAAGGTTCCAGAGCCCCCTTCATAGAATGTGGCATGAGCATGCTTCCAAGCACCGGGAGCGAACTTTGGCCTGTGGTGGTTGTGGGCAACTACATGAATGTCATGCCCATCGCCCTCTGAAAATTTGGCAGCCCTTCTCCATTCAACGGTTGCAAGGACAACATCAGCCACCAAAAAAAGAAAGATGAGCAGCAACAAGCACATTTTATATGCCATTTTTATTTGTATGTATAAGATTTGGTTCTTGGTTTTTCAATTCGATTTGCTTTAGATTCTTGTGCTGCGCCAGATTTTTATATGGTTCTAGAATTTAGGCAGTGTCACGATGATTTCGGTTAACTTGGTTTTGGAAGGATGCAAGTGATCCGGGTCGTTACAATGCTGCTATTATTTCACAAGGATAAATATTTAGATATGAAGATATATAGTAGTTTCTATAAATTAACAAAATCTACAAACAGGGACATGAAAGTTTTTATTTAGCTTCTTCTGCTTTGTGGTACAATCACATCGTTTCTCTAGGTTCCTCACAAGGTCTACGGTCGCGCCTACCCAACAGCAAGCCGTTGATCTTATCGGTCGTCAATGTGACTGAAATCATCATTCACCGATAGGCAACCGCGGTATGGAATCGAAAGATATATAATTACGGCCAACGAAACCACAAAGCTCAAAAGCTGCATATAATTTTTTAGGCGGTGTATATATAAGTTACTTGTTTTCATCCCTGTGCTTACATTATTCCCAATTTATTTATGTAATGTCGGTAGGTAACCCAATTTATTTCTCTGCACAGCAAGTAGGCGGATGGATTAGTGCGATTTTGGCTGCAAGTAGGCGGATGGATTGGTGTGATTTCGGCTGCGGTACTAGTAGTAACGGCAGCCATATCTATTTGAAATGATTAATTGCTGTTAATGATTTCAGAGAGATGAATATTCAATATTCAGGGGGGCTTGTGCACTCACGGGAGTTAAGCTGATTGGATAAGTTATAAGGATGTGTATATATATTCTGTTGAAATATAAGTGTTATAGCTGATATGATTTTGTATTTAGTTTAAATTTACAGATTTAAATGTGAGCCCTTGGATTACAGTCCAAGTGGATAGCTAAAATGTAATCTTAGATGTAATTTGGGAATTTCCTGTTCCAGCTGTTATTAGTGCACAATGTGTGTGCGTGAGAAATATACAACAGAATTCATCTTTTTGCTCCTACCTTGAGCTCTCTCTCTCAATCTCTGCATTTTCATTTTTCTCTAAGATCTTGAGCTCCATCTACCAAAAATCCAAATGGTTCAGATGATAGTTTGAATATTCTAACATATTCCTCCAGATCCAGATAGATAGATAGTTAGTTAGTTGACTTGGCTTGGGATGGATAGTAGAATATATAGAGGTAAGGATGAAACCAAGACACAACATATATATCATTTAAAAAACCATATATGTATCCACATTCCTCCAACAAACTTACAAGACAGGCATCTCTCAAAAACAAAATATAAAAATAAATTGATAAATGTTCGAATTATTCTACCTCCTGTGTTTGGATCACCATCTTGGTATCGCGCATGCGGTTGCTTGATAATCCGTTGTCCCTCTCAAACTCCCTCCCTCATTACTATGACTATTGTTATTATTATTAGTATCATTTGAGAAAACTCGGACTTGGATCGGGTTGCAAAAGTAGTTCCGGGCAATAGAATAAGGAGTTCTCTTCTTGCTCAAGTGAGCCCTATAACTACACTGAACCGAAATCATGAGCCCAAACTTTAAAGACAGAGTTGTGGTGTTGTCATCTGAGATTTCTTTGGCCACATCATCGGGGATGTACGTACTGAGTAGTTTGAAACTCACACTTGTCTGATTCGAAGATTTTAATAACAACGGACGCAGTGACGTCGATGCCAGCCTGAGGCCTATGGGATTGTAGTACAAGACCGCTGGTTGGAGAATGTCGCAGTAGATGTCCCACTTCACGTTGGGGTTTGCGGCTATGAGCGTCACGTCCCAGGTGGCGGTTAAGTCAGAGGAGGAGCGAGTCGCATTAATGTGTGTGTACTGTAGGGCGGCTGAGTCGACTCGGAAGTAGGGGCAAAATGCTCTCGGGCGTACGAACGCCAATGAGGTAATCGCCATTAGGAAAATAAAAAAATAGGGCAACCAGGCTATTGATCGAATACTGCAAGTAGGCCGATGGATTGGTGTAGTTTCGGCTGCGGTAGTACTAGTAGCCATCTCTATTTGAAATGATTAATTGTTGTTAATGATTTCAGAGAGATGAATATTCAATATTCAGGGGGGCTTGTGCGCTCATTGGATAAGTTATAAGGATGTGTATATATATTCCTCCAGATCCAGATAGATAGATAGTTAGTTAGTTGACTTGGCTTGGGATGGATAGTAGAATATATAGAGGTAAGGATGAAACCAAGAGATGCGGTGCTTTTGCTAGGGTTTCCCTGGTATTGATAGGAAAACCCAAAAACCTTAGTCATAAAATAAGTGGCTCACTCACTCATATGGTAGACTTTTGGTTAGTTTTCTATCTATGGCATTGGCAATATTCGGGTCCGACTATGGGCCTGAGTTAACCTTTTTGATATAGGAAAATGCTAGGCGTACTATATTTTTATACCACACTGTGTACCATCTCTCTAATAGATAGATAGATAGATAGATAGTTAGTTAGTTGACTTGACTTGGGATGGTTATTAGAATTAGATTTAGATTTAGATTTCTGGTTTGCAAAAGTTTAGGGGAGAGATTGGCTACTCAGTGGCGAAACCATGATTTTATGTGTGTGGGGGCCTCTTACAAATTATAAAGAATCAAAAATTCGAACTCACAATACATACGAAAATTAGTATATATATATATCACATATGTCAAGAATTATATTGCTTATTGGTTGCAATCATAATTGTCCTTGACAAAGGGATAGACAATTATAAAAAAAAAAAAAAAAAAAAAAAAAAAACCTTAGGTCCCTTCATGCATTCATATCATACATGAAAAAAAGTTTTATGTAAAAATATTGACTAAGTATGAAAAATGGTTTTTCGAACTAATCATTTTCTCAAGATAATTTTTGGCAACTTTTATTCCTTACACATCAAATAAGAAAACTTGATTTTATGGGATTTTAGTATGAAGTATATATTGACTTAATGAGCCATCATTTTTAGCCTAAATCGTCTTTTGCACTAAAACTGATTTTTCATATTTTGATTTGGTGGGAATTTGATTTTCTAGTATTTTTATTTGAATCCAAATAGGGGGTACTTCCTTATTTACATTGTAAACTAAAGTAAATTGAGTAATATAAAAAAAAATGAAAGTAAAAGGACAAAGACATTTACTTAAATGCTGAAAATGGAAATAAGGTAATCTGTACACCTGGAGTACACCGAGCAAAGGGGTAATTTGAAGCACCTCCTTGTGCCTTAATAGGTCAGCCACAACACATGTGGGTACATATAAAAATGTAAAGTATTTGAAATAATATACATATAGAAATACATAACAATATATTACTTTTAAAATATAAAAAAAACTTGAGTGGGGGCCTCTGCTCCTGGCTACTCTCACCACCAGCTCCAGGGCAGACCCACAACCTCGATCGAGCCAGAAGAACTTACGCGTGGCACCCAACTGTCTTGTATATTGAGACCTTTTGTTTATTTATCTTGCATATTCAGACCACTTGTTTATTTATTTATCTTGCATATTGAGACATTTTGTTTATATTTATCTTTTAAAAGAAATAGTAACCAAAATAAATCTCCTTCTTCTATTCAGTCCAGTCACTTTGCTATATATAATATAGTTATAGTAGAGGATTCATTATTGTCATGTAATTGTATTTGTTTGATAATGGTAAAGATTAATGATTCTTTTAGATCTAATTGATTAATGATTTCTTATAGCGTAGCATAAGCTAGCGTTGTCAAAACTTGAGAAGTAATATATCGTTAGCAATATATATTAACCTAATTGATCCACTATCTTCCCAATCATATCTCATAACACTATCAAGAAAAACAAAATCAAGTACTCTAAATCGTTTGGTTTTCATATCATAAAGATGCAATTGGGGTGGACCGTCGTTAAATCCTGGTGTAAGTCCAAGAAAATAGCGCACGAATGCTAGCTCACCTGTGTGAATTGTACCCAAAGCTCTAACTGAGCAACTACGACCAAGGTCGTCTCTGGACATCAAGCTAACAGTCTGCTTAATCCACACATGATTTTGATAGTCCTTCGAAATCCATAACACGATCCTGTCCGACTTGTCAAAAAACACACCCACACATCCCCCCCACCTCAACTACACGTGCACTTCCTCGGCAATAACAATCAGCATCACTTTCATAATCATCATAATCATCAAACACTTCATGAGCATAATCTTGGGGCAGCGGCACCAATGTGAATGTCTCCTCTCTAACGTCAAATGCCACTATCACTTTCTGCTTCTCATGGATCCAATGTACGGCCCCATTGATGTACACTCCATCATTTCGTATCCCATGCGCTATATCAGAAAGAAGGTGGCTATGTTGGGGTACCTGCAATGGCCTCCACGAAGAATCCGTACCTATTGTGAATACGTTCAACTCAAAATCCCATTTTCTAAGTCCACTGGGATAAACACAGATGAACTGGAGAACCTTATACTCGTTTGTGAGTGGATTGAACCCAAAGTTAAAGTTGGCGGATGCAAGCAGTTCTCCATTGATTGTTATTGTTCCACAAAGCCATAATGTAACTCATACTACAAGTCAATGTTTAGACAATATGGCACACGATTTTTCCAAAATTTGCTTAGCTTGATACAAGGATTCGCATTTTATGGGAATTATTCAACTGTACCGTAGCCACCCACATATACCGTAGGCTGTATTTAGGGATAAGGGAAGTACTTATGATATAAGGGGATTTCTCACAAACGCACTACCAATGTGTCATAGAAGTTCGAACTTTTTTTTTTGAAATAAACCGATTCATTGCAATGAAGATTAGCTGAGGCAACAGTCTTGGGTGAGGAGTTCCTGAACAAGCTCAGGGGCCTCACCAAACCAAAAACAATCTTGGTGCAAATGAAAAGCAAACAAGGCAAGCCTGTTAGCGACACGGTTACAAAGCCTAGGCACATTGGCCACGGAAGATGACTGGAAGTGAGAGAGGAGCACACAACAGTCATCAATCAAAACCCCCCCACTAGAAGCAACAGAGGTATCTTGCGAGACAGCTATAGCAAGCTTGGCGGAGCCGCACTCGAAACAAACCCGTTGGAGATTCAACTCCACAGCCAACCGGATACCCGCCAGCAAAGACACAGCGTGAAGATGCTTGAAACCCCTAGTTTGCAAGTCAATGCCCTTTTCCAATGGACTAGACTACATTGGCCATGGACGGTTATTTCACAGCTGCTATTATTTCACAAGGAAAATTATTTAGATTTGAAGACAGTAGTTTCTATAAATAAATAAAATCAACAAACATGACGTGAATGTTTTTATTTAGCTTCTTGTACAATTACGGCCAATGAACCACTAAGCTCAAAAGCTGCATATAAGTTTTTATGGTACAAAAAGGCAGTAATTTTATTTAAGTTACTTGTTTTCATCCCTGTGGTTACATTATTCTTAATTTATTTACGTAACGTGGAAGGCAACTCAAGCAAGTACACAAACAGAGCCAGACCGAAGACGGGATGATGAGAAGACAATAAACTCAGTAGCGGTATATGAGTTGCTTGTATGCATCTTTGTGATTTGAGTAGTAATCGATCTCTGCCTGCAAACAAAACAAATTGTGAAAAGCATCGTTATAAGCATTTCAATGAAAGGCATGCTACTGTTTTCGAGGACATTTTGTAATGGTTGAAATCATTTAATAGGTCAGCATTTAAAAAATTACATCCAAAATGTACCTTGCGGATCCCCTTTATGGCGACCAATAGCTTTTCACCAATTAAATCTGTGAAGGCATTGTCTTCCTTTAGAGCTTCTAAAGATTCAGAAAGTGATTTTGGCAACCTTTGTAGTTCTGCGTCAAGGCTAGAAGGATTTGTATCTGTTCAATGAAGAAATATTACTAAGATGTTAGACCACAGTATCTAACATTCTTGAAAAGAAAGACCATAACCTCTATGGAAAAAATTTCTTCAAATAGTAGACAGAGAATGAAAAGAAATTAAAACGTCAAGGATTATCGTGTCATCTTACCAACAGGTTCAGGGAGAGAAAGATGATTCCTAAGACCATCAATGCCAGCAGCAAGTATTGCAGCCAAGCCTAAGTGTGGATTTGCACACCCATCAAATGATTTGATCTCAAAGTTGCTCACCAAACCATGTTGAATTCCAGGTGGGCATGCAGTTCTTAGTGGAGCTTCTCTGTTTTCTTTTCCCCAGCACTTGTATGCTCCAGTCCATGTGTTAGGTTGTATCCGGTCATAACTACACATTGATAATGGTTGAAAATAAGAGAGGATAGTCCAATCCAAGCATTTTTCAAGCGGAATAAAAAGTATGAGAAGGCAGTCTCAGCTATGCTATTTCCTACTCAATTGCATAACAAGATGGTGAAACAGTTGCTCGCAAGAACAACGATAAATACAATAATTCAGGGATAAATAGGAGCACCTATTTGGAATTGGTGCTGTAAATGCCAAAATTGCTGGAAGATGATGTAAAACCCCTGCCAAGAATTCCTCCCCAACCTTGGACATTCCATGCCGAGAGGATCCACCAGATCCCATAAATACATTTTGTCCATTCTGCCACAAACTGATATGCACATGGGCTCCAGAGCCAATCTCATCTAGAGCATACCTGCCCAAATACCACAAAGTTATGTAGAGTAATATGGACATCGAAGGACAAAAATTTCTACAGACCTACAGCTCATCAGCTGTCAGGTAAGAAGTAGTGTTCAGCCAAGTTAAACATTGAGTCTCCATAGGCCAGAATTCACCTTCACACAAAATTCTAAAATCCAAAAATTCTTTTGGGCCAATTTTAAACCTCTTTTTGCAATGATATAAGCATCTAGCATACGTAGGGAAAAATTAGGAACCTACTTTGGGATAAAAGTTGCCAACAACCCATGCTTCCTTGTAATCGCCCTAATAACTTCACGGGTATAAATCAAGTTGTCAGCAGCATGCATACAAGCAGTGTGCCCCAGCACCATCTCAAATTGTCCTTTTCCAGATTCTGCATGTAACTACAGTTTGTACAATGTAAATAGTAAACAGAAGCTGGTGATACTTGAATTGCATAATCATTTGGGAGGGGGCACTCTTAAACAAAGGATGGCCTAGAGTGCTATATTTTATGTAACTACACCTTCTGTTGAATTTTATTGAAATTTGAATAGAAAAGAAAAACTTTCATATAAAGTATCAGTAAGCATGGTATTATATGGAAAAGTTCCTCCTACAAAATACAAAAACAAGCAGCAAAGATATCATGAGTTTTCTTCTGCACCTGTTCAACAGTAATATTCAAGGAATGGAGAGCAGGAATAACTTCATGAAATAAATAGGAAGCAGCATCATATGATGATGTGGAGCAGTAGGGTGTTGAGTCAAATGGCACCAATTCTTCCTTCCCATCCCTGCACAAGTTTTTCATTTGTATTCCAAATTATCACCATGCTTCTAAAATGTTCAATTACAAATTTACCTAGAGACAGAAGTATCCCATACCTTAGTGTACCTTTCAAGATAAAAAACTCATTTTCAAAGCCTGCATTCATTACCTGGACAAATAGCATTAAAGTTTTTTTAAAATTCTTTTAGTGAGATAGAAAACATATGAAACTTATTCATGGAAACAAGCAGTCCACCTACAATGTGAACATAAATTTAATAGCTCACATTGCAAACATCTAAAAGCAAGATCTCCTAAGTAACAGCAGTCTATCAATTTGCATGAATTGGAAAGAAAGAAAAAAGTATTTTCTATAATTTAGAAGACCCGCGTTCTTTTTCTAGATTACCCACCCTTAAGCCTCCTTTCTCAAGGGCCGGAGACAGAAATAGCATTAAAGTTAATTACCAGAGTTATCCATATGTCAGACACAAACTATTCAACATACCAAGTTAAATTCATCTTTCAAAAATTTTGAAACCCTGCGTAAGGCCTCTCTTGGGCAGTATTCCCATGCTTCACCTGGTTTTAGGTGCATGTCAGCCAAAACCATTTCCTCTTGTTTTTCCCTGTTGAGAAAAATATTGGTATTAAATAAAATAGTGGCAATAAATATTTTCAACTGTGCCAGATTTTACCTGATACTGAAGCATATATAAGTCGGAAAATATTATTATTTATTAAATCATGTCTATGGCTACAAATAGTTTGTGTAAGTGATAGTATCTTAATAGATGTGATTATGCAAGGACGTACTTGTGTGAGGCTGCGTGTATGTGTGTATGTATACATAGATCTTTCTGTTTGATCAAAAAGAGTGTGTAGTAGTACATAGCATATCACCAACTACTGCAAGCAATCATAACAAACTACAAAGAAAAAAATGAGAGGTTTTAACTTAATGTGTAACGAAAAATAATAAGCTCCTATAAGAAAAAGTCTAATAAGCTGCATATATATCATTTCAGTTATACTATACTAAGATAAATACATTGTTACTTAAGAAGACATATGTAGTGTAAATATTTATTTGAAACCTCAGCAGAGCTATTCAGTACCATGGGATTCTCCATTTAGTCGATAAATCAGGCATGAGTCTGATCTCACCCACTCCAGTTAAATTAGTCTCATCAGCAGGACCATCAGTGAATGAAGTCATTCCCATAGAAGCAAAAGTCAAACCAATGCCATTTTTTGTAACAACATCATTGAATCTATTTTTTGGAACAACCTGAAAAGATGGACAACAAATGGGACAAAAGAAATAAATTAAAAAATAGTCCTTATCCTATGCAAATTCAAGAAGTCACCTACAAAAACTAGAAATTGTTTAGTGCGATAACTTCCCCATTATAAAAGAACATAAGTATGCCATTCTACGAAAAATCAATAGCCACCGGTTTCGTACAATCATTTACTGTACAAGCTTGCTTCAACCTAGAAGGGATAACTAGTTGCACAGGTTGTATCTTTCATTACACAAATTGAATATATCAAATACCATGGATAAAGCACACAAAGGCATGGTTGTACGGCTGGTATGCTATAGTGCTCTAGAATATGGATACCATGCCATGCGTGAGTATATGTGTGTGTGTGTGTGTGTGTATCCTTACACTCTCTCACAAGAATATAACAAAAGTACTCACCAATTTTAAAACTTAAACCAAAAAGAAAAAGAACTCACACGACATCTTTGTTGTCCGGAAGCATCAGACCAGATAACACGAACAAATGAGACATCATCTTCTGAGTCATTACCGTTCACCTTCACAAAGTTGGGAGATACACTATTCTCTGACCCAGAGGATTTGACAGAAGAATTAATCTTGTAAAACTGAATTGCATTTTGTGAAAAGATGTCTTTAGCAGCCTCAATAGCTTCAGGAATTGAGAGATCACCATCAGCACAAGCATCACGTAGGACAGAAAATACAACTTCACGAGATTTTTTTGCACCTGTCAAAGATGAAGTGGCACTTGAAGTGATTACCTGCACAAAATTTATCTACATATACAGTTTATAATACTATTATAACAAACCTGAGTAGAAAGTTTAACAAACCTAAATAAAAAGTTTCAGGAAATGCGTAGCCATCAGTGCTGAACATCACCTGCAAATAAATTATGTTCGACAACCAATGTTTTATTAATGCATGTATTTATTTTGGGGGGCAGGGAGCACACATGTACATGGGCATGCACACGCACAGGAAACATCTTTTCATTTTTCTACCCAGTACCAGGACCCTTCTGCAGAATTTCAGATAGCTTAGATGAATGTATAAACAAGACAGAGATACTTTCAGTCAGATCCGGGAAGAATGTCCTAATAACTAGACTGCTTCAATGGAGTTTATTAACAAGAAAAAGTACATATACGATTGTTAGAGTTTACCAAAAGTATTGTATTTACTCCATAATCTCGTCATAGCAATATATTGTATGATAGTGAAAAACCACTCTATGTGTTCTTAGAATTAGAATGCACAGTTCCCTAATTTATTCTAGGCTTAGGGTTCATGAAGTGTTACCTTCTTAATTGGAGCTAGCTCCAAAAGTTCTTTGACTGAAGATATCATCCCATGGACACTGAGCTTAGGTACAGCCAAACCAAAGTCAAGGTACACCTGTAAGTGAAAATGTTTGTGACCCACAAGGTTATACCGAATGTGGAGAAAAATGAAACTCACTGAGAACTACAAATTTTACCTGGGGATAAATGGAGGCTAGATATGATGCTTCTTTTGAAAATGGGTAGGATGCATGTAAAAGAACTATACGGCATTTAGAAAATCTCTTGTCCTTGAGCACATCCCGAAGATGAAGAGGATTGGACAGCCGCATATCCAAATCTTTGTCGCCAAAACTAGTTACAGGCAAAGAATATCAATTATTAATAAACAGACAACATAATTTTGAACAATCATAGTATCACAAGGATCGAAGTACTTTTCTATTCTACTTCAAAAGGGTCAGGGAATAATAGAATCTGTTTTGTGATTCCTTGAACCTATACATTATATTATTCATATAGAAATCAACATAAGGGAGTATTTCTAAAAAAACCTTCAGAATCATTCCTTTAAACGGCAACAACAAATTCTAAGCTTTCAGTTCCTTTCTATAAGTATCAGCAATCAATCAGAGTATAATGCAAAATAATTTTGAGAAATTCAAAACTTCCAATTACCCTGTATGTATCTGCATTGGCAAGTCAAAAAGTAGACCAACCTCCAAACTACGAGTGAAGACATAGTCGATAAAACTTTTATTTGAAATGCGAACAGGCTTTGCAGCTGGAGAGATAGACTAATCAGTATACCTTGTGGTTAAAATAGAGAAAAAAACCCCATCCAAATGTGATACTCACCATGTAAAACCTCAGCAAGACCTTCCTCAGCATCCTTTTTAGTGACATTTGTATTAATTTCCAGGCCGCTGCGGTATGCAGCTATGCTTTTCAAGCCAAAAATCTTATCACCAACTGTAGCATAGTTGATAAGGAATTCAACAAAATCAGGGAGTTACATTTTTACACCAGTAGATGACAAAGTGACATAAATATCCCACAGCTAACTAAAAGGATATGACTTCAACTTTCCAACAAATATTTCGGTGAAAAAATCCAATGTCCAAGAAGATCCAACGGGCAATTCCTAAAAGGAACAGAAAATGGAACAAATAATTACTATGTGTTTGTTGCTCAGTCAATCAAAATAACTAATGATATCATCTATAATACTTATAATTACAACCCAACAACAAAAATGCCTGATAAACTGAAAACATAGATAAACATTAAAAATTAAAAAAGTTAAAAAACTAGCTGAAAGCATCAAACACTCATCCAAGAAAAAGAAAAATGAAGGATGCATAAGGTGTCTCACTCACTTCATTAAGAATCTCCTCAGCCAGATGTTCAATTCTCAAAATTCTCCCAACAACAGGTGCAAAATTCTTATGCCAATCTATCTCATGCTTTTTGTCCAACCTCAACCCATCATCAATGAGAATGGCGGAGATTCCTGCAGCTCTGAAGCAAGTGGAGCTAATCGACTGCAATCCGGCGAGTCTGCGATGTTCTTCAACTCCATGCAAGGTCTTCTCACACCCATAGAGCTCGGCAACATCCTTCAAATTTCTCTGCAAGACAACGCCGTGTTTCGCACATATCAAGAGTTCAGCATCTCGATTTGACAAAACAGAACATCAGATAGATACGATCATAATCAACGGATAATTCAGTGTCGTTGACTTGAGTTTGACCGCGCCTAGAGGCGTAAGATAGCATGGAAGCGTTGAAGGGAGGCAGAAACTGGAGATAGAGCAGTGCGCATACCTTGAAGGAGAGGGAATGGGGTGCGTAGGATAAGGCGTCGCCGTTGGCTTCAGAGAAGCCACTGATGAAGGGTAAGGCAGAGTCAATGGCGACGATGTTGTGCGCGTGGGCGTCGACGAGCTCCGCCTCCTTCACCGCCTTTCTCAGCTCCGTCAAATCCATGCCGTCGACTGTTTCTGCGAGCGTTGAACCGGGCATGTCGTCGGCCTTTTATAAATTATAACAGACGAAATTTTTTTTTTTTTCACCGAAAAAGATATCATGGGTTTTTCTACTTTTGTCTCAACTCAATCTTCAATAACGGTCAAAAACCGTAATATCACTTACGCCTTTTTCTCCGCTTGTGGTGTGTAGGGATTTCGAAACTTTATCCACACCATTGTGAGAACGTGAAGGTAAAGAGTCTCACATTGGAAAATTAAGAATTCTAGCAAGGGCTTATAAGGAGTTGGACTACTCTTCTTATTGCCAATTGGTTTTGGGGTGGTACCTCAACTTCCTTCATAGTATCAAAGCCAGGTTGTCCACATGTGAAAGCCCAACTTCCTTCATGAAATGATCTTAGATGTTGGGTGTCTAGGAGTTTCGAACATTTTTCTCTTGTAATTTTAGTTTCATTATTACTTGATTTTCACTTTCGTACTCATTTTTAAATTCTATAGTTTTTAGGTGACGAAAGTTACATTGGCAATAGAAAAATTGTAGGTGTTTGACTTGAATCACATGAAAATTGTCATTGAAAAGCTTTTATCTCTTTCTTTCATTCATTTCTTAAAATCGCTTTTGATACAACACAACTTCTCTTAAAATAGTAGAGGAAATCTTTAAAGATATGTATATACTTCCTCTACTTTCAAAAAAATAAAAATAAAAATTCTGAAGGAGTACATTAGTCAAAAAGCTTGACAATATAAAATAAAATGAAAATTCTGTGTCAATAATTATGAGTTGTTGTTTCTCCCATCTTTTTTCTCCCAGTCACCAAGTTTTTGTTTTTATTTTTCGACTGTGATGGTTTATGGATTGGGTTGGTTGGAAGAGATGGGCTGAGATATAAAGTAAGCTAGTTTGTAGGCTAGTGTCTTCAATGGCTGTGAAAGAGAAGGAAAAACACAAGGGGTGGTCGAATGAGAGCTTGCCGACTTTTACTGTTTGAGAAAAATGTCGAAGAAAAAAAGTTTGGAGATTGAAATATTAGAATCGTCATTGTCAAACAATTAATCTTGTTAGCTTATTATAACACGTGCATTGAAACGAAAAAGAAAAAAGAAAAAAAGAAGAAGATGGCTGCACTGCACACATTGAAATTCCTATAAAATAAGATAACACCAATATTTCAGCTATGGAGCACGTGTTCAAATGGAATTACAATTCTTTGCCTACAGGTTATTTTGACTATAGTGTTTGTGTCAAACACTGAGGCCAAGGAGTGATTATTCATTTAATCTCAAACTCCTCAAAATTAAGGGCCTATAAAAAGGGGTACATGGCTGGGAAAAAGGGGGAGGCTGTGGAGAGATACAAAAATGAAAAAAGGAAGCCGCAAGGCCTTGGGGAAGAATGGAGCACATCTGTGCTGAAGAAAAATGACAGAGGCAATTCCATATGCAACCGTCCGTATCAAAAGTAGCACAACATGGAGTCATGACAGAGGCAATCAAGGCTCCTCTCTTGTAGTCCTCCATGCTTGGGTATAAAACCCATGAACCAAATTCTATGGATGATGAATCCATTTTGGGGTCAAAACTCATAAATCAAATTTAGTGGGTGAGCACAATGAGGAAAAAGCCAAAGTTCATCTTGTTAAATGGGATTCTGTGTGTAAACCTAAGTCCATGGGTGGTCTTGGTCTGAAACAAACCCATTTAATGAACCAAGCTTTACTTGCTAAGGTGGGCTGGAAACTTTTGCAAAAGGGCCAAGGTCTCTGGAATAAAGTCTTGCAGGAAAAATATATTAAGAGCAACCATATTCTGAATATTAATAAAGCTGTTCAAGCTGCTTGCTCTAATACTTGGAGAGGAATCCTGTTTGGCACTCAAATTCTCTCTAAAGGTTTAAAATGGAGAGTCGGAGCAGGTAATGACATCCTTTTTTGGAAGGACAATTGGCTTGATTGTGGCCCTCTCGAGGGCCTTTCCATAATCCCTCTTTCTGAAGACATGTTACAATGGACTGTGCGGGACTTTATGTCTGAAAGTGGGTGGAAGATTGATTGGCTCAACCAACTGCTTCCTAGTGAAATTGTTGGCAGAATTTGCAGTATTCATACGGGCTCTGAGACTCAAAGACCAGATAGTACTATCTGGGGCCTGTCTAAATCTGGAGAATTCTCTGTTAAATCTGCCTATTTATCCTTCTTTGATGAGATAAATTCTGCGCCTTGGGCTTGGGATTTCATATGGAAACTGCATCTGCCACCAAAGATAAAGACCTTTTTGTGGCTTATTGGTCATGGCAAAATCCTCACTAATGTCCAGAGAGAGAGAAGAAAGTTGACTACTGATCCAAATTGTCATAGATGCCGGTCCCTCCCTGAGACTATGGAGCACTTATTCAAAGACTGCCAGCATGCCCAACAGGTTTGGAACTCCATTGAAATACCCCTTTCGTTGGCTCATACCTTCTATCTTAGCTTTGATGTTTGGATTATGATCAATCTCAAGAGCAAGATTAAAGTCTCTCACAACTTACCTTGGGTCTTGGTATTCACCACCGCTCTTTGGCACTGTTGGAAATGGAGATGCTGCTCCACTTTCAATACTGGCTATGAAGCTCCCCCCCACCTCATGCAGGTTATTCTTCAGTTTGCTTGTGATTGGTATGACATCAATAAGGTGATTAATGTTATTCATGCTAGAGAGGTTATCCAAGTCCTTTGGCAGCCTCCTTCCCTTGGAAATGTTAAATTGAATGTGGATGGTAGCTGCAAAATCAACTCTGGTTTAATATGCGCTGGTGGGCTGCTGAGAAACGCCAATGGAACTTGGATCTGTGGTTTTTCAGCTAACATCGGGTTTGGAACTATTTTGGAGGCTGAGTTATGGAGTCTATTCAGAGGCTTGCAAATGGCTTGGGCTAAAAACATTAGATCCCTTGAGATTGAGAGTGATTCAATGACAACTGTCACCTTGATAACCAAAACCTGTGAGCAATCCCACCCTTTATTCTGTTTGATTGAGGACTGCAAAGAATTAATGCGTCGCAACTGGAGTTGCAACATCTCTCATATTTACAGGGAACAAAATAGAGCTGCGGACCTCCTTGCCAATATGGGGCATGAGCTCCCTTTGGGTATACACCACTATGATTCTGCTCCTGATCATCTTACCAGCACTTTGCGGGATGATGAACTAGGGAGGGCCTATGATAGGGCTGTGCCTGTTTAGCTTTTCTTCCTTGGCTTCTGCCATCCTTGTAACCAAAAAAAAAAATTTAGTGGGTGAGCAACCCCGAAAAATCATTGGATACGAAATCCATTATTGGGTGAGAAACCCTTAAATTTATTTGGGATGAGAAATCCATGGGTGAGAAACCCCGAAATTATTTGGATGCAAATCCATGGGTGAGTAACCCCGAAAAATCATTGGATACGAAATTCATTATTGGGTGAGAAACCCCGAAATTATTTGGATGCAAAGTCCGTCATTGGGTGTTAAACCTTGAAATCAAAGCATCAGGTTTTGCACCCCGGAAACAAAGCTTGGGTTTTACACTCTGAAAACAAATATGGGTTTGCACCCTAAAAACAAAGTCTGGGTGTTTCACTCTCAATCAAGGATTGAGTTTTGCACCCTAAAAAAATCATTGGATACAAAATCCATTATGGATGAGAAACCCTGAAATTTATTTGGGATGATAAATCTCTATGGGTGAGAAACCCGTCTTTGATAGAAATTCTCAAAACAAGCATTAAAAAAGCTTAATCCTCTTTTTCAACATTACAAACCTCCATTTAAGGTGAAGCCTCTTGAGATGTTGAAGGAAACCAAGGTACCAGTTTACGAGTGCATAACTAGAAAATTAAGAGTGGTTGTTAGAGCATCTCCACCCACAAGGGCTAAGTCTAAGGCAATGGCAAGCAAGGGCTGCCACTATTCACGTGAATAGTGTCAGCCTTTGCATTTGTGGTTCCACCCACAAGGGCTAAGTCTAGGGCAAGTCTAAGGCAAGAAAGGAAAAAAATATTATGCAACAAAATATAAACAATTTAGAAAGTAAATAAAATTGTTATGTATTTATAGGGAAAGCATCTATAATTTTTTGGTATTTTAAAAAAAAAAATTGAAAATTTTTTGGATATTTTTTGAATTTTTTTAAATATTTTTTTGGTCGCTGACGTCAGCATGACGTCACAAAACTCGGTTTGAAGCCCAGGCAAAACCTGCCCTTGGGCTTGCCCGGGCTGGTGGGACCCACGCCAAACCAGGCTGCAGGCTGCAGCGCTGGAGCTGCTTGGGCTTGCAAGGGGGGCCTTTTGCCCGGTTCTTCTCCTGCGCTGGAGATGCTCTAAAGAGTTCAACATGCTGATCTGTGCAAAGACCAACCTCTCAAACCAAAGCTCGAAGGGTCCAACTTGTTTAAATTACTGTTGCTGCCAACAGCAAGGAAAAATGGTGCTCGTCACTTTTCTGTAGAATTGGCTTATTAACCAAATATCTTTAAATGACTTTCAAGCATTATGAAAACTTGAAGAACCCAAAGAAATTTGGTCCATGTCAGATGGCAAACCAAATGGTCAAGCCTTTTGTATGAAGCTCACGACAAAGCAAGTCATCATCGTTGGAAATTGATGTCTTGCACTTGCACATCTAAAGAAAACAAAGCCAGCTTTATGAAAGAGAAAAATAGAAGAGGGATGTGATTGAGCCACCACATGAAAGTCCAAAAAAAAAGAGCAAAGAAACAATAACAAGAGGATTTCTTCTTCCCTTGGCATGCGTTAAGCTAACAAGTCTTTGAAATCAAGGACTCAAAGACTCAACGCCAGCAAGAAGGGATTTTACAAAGCTAATGTTGTTGGCTGGAAATCCAAGAAGGCCCACATACTTGAGACAAGTTCGAGAGAGTAAAACACCAAGGCTTCAAGCCTGAAAGGATCTCAATCTTAAGTCCATTACAAAATAGTGTAGTTCTGCTCAAATTCAAAGCTGAGTCAATTAGGGACTGCCAAATCAGTTAAAATGGGCTTCATGGGCTGCTTGTACAAAGTCACAAAGACCACGCAACAAGTCCGAGAGCTAACATAAA